GGAACGGCGAACTGTGGGAATTCACTTTCTCGAGCTGGAAATGCCATTAAGGCTGTAAAAGCAGAGCTGGAATTGGCGCCGTGCGCGCCGCTGCTGTGGAAGTCCCTGCGGTTGTAAAATAAGTCGGCAGGAGCTAAAGCACACCAGCTTAAAGGAAAAAAAAAAAGGAAAAAAAAAAACCCTAGCGCTTGCATTTATTTACTGTGTTTTTTTTATTTTCCCCCCTTAGGGGGCAGAGCTGGAGGAAGTGGAGTTAAAAGCGAACCGCTGCTCTGAAAGCCTCCCGAGGTGTTCTTGGGCTGCGCTCCTGGGGAGAAAGTCAGGGAGTTGCTCGCAGGGGCTGTAGCACCGGTTTGCTTGCTCTTTCCACCCTCTCCCAAGGGTGGGCAGGAAGGAAGGGACCAGAAATAGACTGCCCACAGCCTCTTCTGCCTGCTTTTCTTTCCCGATGCTACTTAAATCTTGCTCAGCCCTTCGGGAGCCCCTCAGATGACTTGAATGCTGTCTTTTGTTTTTAGCCCTGATTATCTGAGATCAGCTGAAATGACTGAAGTGATGATGAACACCCCAACTATGGATGAGATTGGGCTAAGCCCCCGCAAGGATGGCCTGTCGTATCAGGTAAGCGCTTTGCTGGCTGCTTAGGCAGTAATCCCCTGTGGAATTGCCTGGGCCGGACTGCAAACTCCGTCTGATGTACCTTTCCTTAGCCTGACCTAGTAGCAGGTCTTGCTGTAGTGAGAACTAGTCAACAGACTGGAATGCTTGCTTGGCAGGAGCCAGTTGTCTAAAATATCGGTTGGTATCAGACCAGATTGGCAAAGGACTCGGTTGTTTCTGAAGTGATCAAGGCCCCACTCGTTCAGCATTCGTGGGGGCTCAGTGGGAAGTGGGGAGATCGGTTAAAGAAGGATTTGCCTCACTCACTGGGCTGAGAGGACTCTGGGAGCTCTTTGTAATGCGGCATACAAATGATCTGCCTAGAGCAGGAGGGAGGTATTTATATGATGCTTAAATTTTTTGATCTATTTCTTGGTTTTCCTGGCTGATGGACCTGTTTGAGAGTGTTAAGTCAGATTCAGTGTGGCCAGGGACAGCCTAAACAAGCCTTGAAATACCAGTACCTGAAGGCATGAGCTGCATTCATTCTGAAAGTTGTGAACAATGTAATTAGCTATTAACCTCTAGATCAGTGACTGGGGTGAAGAGGTGGTCTTAGAAACTAGCTTGAGCCTTAATCCTTTAGTCTCAATTTCCCTTTCATTTTGTAGCTTATAGTTAATCAGAGGGTGAGTTGTGCATCTTAGCCTACTAAGATCCATGTTTTCCTACTCTTCCAGGAGACTTGTTGATGAGATTTAACACAGGTGCTGAGTGCATGCAGATGACTTGCATCTGGTCTGTGCATTGGCTGACTCTTAATGGCAGATCCCTGTGCAGGGTTCTTCCTTTGCAGATGTTACACAACCTGCACAGAGGCAGTTGCTGTAAGTGTGTATTCAAATGAGGTGTGGTGTTGTGTGCTTGCATATTTATGAAAAACGAGCTACAAGGCAGAAACAGTGTGCTGAAGCATGAAATCAACTGAACTTTGGGCTATGGCTGAGGCCTCTCCAACAGAAGCCAAAACCATGGGAGGAAAAGGGGATGCATTGCTTTTTTTGGTCAGAATTCTGGGTCTGGATAATACAAGTTGTTTGGGTTGCCTGTGTGTGGAAATAGCTGTGCTTCAGTGCTTGAATTAGTGGAAAGCATATGGCCTCTTTCCTCTCCTATAGAGGGAGTGTACAGCAATGAGAATGGTTACAAACCTGAAGCAATCAAACTAGCCTGCATGGGATGTTCAGTTGTCTTTATGGGTCACCATATGAAGAGGCTTAACCCAGTCAGGTCAAATGCCTCAGGCCAAACCTATCCAAATTCTCCAGTGAGAGGCAGAATCTAGGTGCCCTGCTTGTTCTAATGATTGCTTCCGTGAGGTTTTCTTCCCCAGGTGCTAATGACCTTGATAAGTCTGCTTGGGCCAACTGGGGAACAGGCCTGTTCAGTTTTGAGCGGATCATCTGAACCTGAAGATGTGTGAGTCATAAATGCTGGCGACTCATATCTGTGCAGGTTTTATGCATCCCGGATCTCTCTTCTGTAGTGGTCTAGTCATAGATAAGTTTTTTCAAATGTCTGCAAGAGCTGGGAACTGCCTGCTGGTGCTTCACTTTGTTGTAACCCAGACTGATGGCAGAAAGGGTTGAGGTGGATGATCCTGGTGGGGCACTAGTGGTGTGTGGGCTGTGCACGAGGTCTGCCTCTAAATCAGGTTAGCGTAAAGAGGATTGGGGAGCAGGCTCCAGCCTTCCTCCTCTGCTAGGCTGAGAATGTCACAGTGCACATCAAGGTAAGTTTGAAAATTCAGGTTAGAACAGCAAGGACAAATCTGATGCAAATCACATCATCAACTTGTTGTTCTACCTCAGACTTTGGCACTTTGTGCTTCATCTTGCTGATGGAGAGAGTTTGGTACATGGAAAATTGTATGCTAGTCTGAGGGCTGTAGTGCAATAACTTAAAACCAGACAGGGCTAATGGAGCATGACTGCTCCTGCACTGAGGCTTGTTGTTCTAAGCTGCAACATCTTCCTCCAGTCATCTGCAGAGTTGGGCACTTACCATCTGAGTGTAACAGCCCTTGGCTGGCTACGAGAGGCAAAAAAAAAAAAGTGGAGCCAGAACCAGGAGAGGCAAGCTTTTAGTTTCAAAAGCTGCTCTTCTTCTAGTAGTAGAACTTGTATTTATTTTACTGCAGAGAGGACCTCAAAATGAGGTTCAAAATGTCGCCCTTTGGGCTGTGTAGAGCAGGGCCTGCCTGGGAGTTGGTCCATAGGATTCTAGCCATGAGCCTGGGGGCTGCCTCTGCCACCATGACATGAAACTGTCTGGACCAGGGGAGATGGTCCAGCAGCTTTGCTGGAACTGTAGAATGCACCAGTGTCTGCTGTAGGCAGACTTGTCCAACCAACAGTACTGTTTCAAAGTATTTTTGCCTTTACTTGGCAGTAAACTGAGGAAACAAGCTCACACAGAGTATGAACTTCAGCAGTCTGATTCCTCTGTCCCATGGAGTTCACTGAACTTCAGGGCTGCTGTCTGTCTTGCTGGTTGTGAGGGCAACTTGGCTTGTTGACTTTTTCCTTCTGCCCCCCCCAGCCCCTTGCCTGTGCGCACGCTCTGGAGTGTCTGTCTGTCTAGACATCAGCCGAAGGTGCGTGTCCCCTGAGTGAAGCTTTTGGGCCTTTGGTGGGCTGGCCGTCACTGCTCTTTAAGCAATGATGTGAAAACTCAGACTGTAGAAGTCAGATTGGTGATAACCAAGTTGCCCGTGTAGGCTTAGCAATTTGTACAGTTTCACTTGCAAAATGTGCTTTCTCAGCATAGAAATGCGTTTTTCTGGTTAGTATGCAAAATGCTTGTAAGCTAATGTGCTAATTTCAAAACCTTTCCATGTAAAGCAGCTTTATTACTCTATTTGTGATGTAAAGCTGCTCTCTGAGCCCCCTGAAGGTGGTTCAGCCAACAGATTTAAAGGGCCTGAGCAAAAGTGAGTGGTGAAACTGGGGCATGAGTCTCAGGGCAGGGCAGTGTAGACAAAACAGAAGATGCAGCTGAAGAGATGATGTCATGCTGGGTCTTGTGCCTGCAGTGAAGTGCTATTTCTGGATCTTTAATAGATGTCCCATAATTCCCATGGGACTTACTAAACAAAAAACTCGTTGAAATGCAGCTGATGGCTCAAGATGCCCCTGCCACAAACAGATGTGCCTATGGAGGGCTTCATGTGCTTCCTGCCTGACAGTCTCCGGCAAGCCTGGCCTTTTTCACTGCCAGTCAGAGCTGATGTACCGTTCGCTATTTTCTAGCTCCTAGATATACCCGTTCTCCAAAAAGCCTCATCAGCACTCTGCCAGCTTGTCCTCTGATGCCATCTCACAGCAGTACGAATGATGCTACTGAAACCGAGGCTGAATTAATCATTTCGCAGAGCTGTTGTCAAAAGAGTACCCTGACCTGAATCCTGCCTTGCTTCTTGGAAGTGAAGTGGGGTCTGAGCACACCTGAAAACACTTTGATGCCCAAAGTGTTTATTTTGAGTGAATGCTGTGTCCTGAGTTGAGTGTGCTACTTTGCTGCAGGCTGGCTGGCTTGCTGGTCCTGTGGGACCTTAGGCTCCCTTTTAGGAGATTGGCATGTGGAGGCTGAGCTTGCCTCATGCCATCAGCTGGGGTTTGGTTGTCATGGGGAGCTTGAGCTCTTTAAGTCATGATTGCATCATGCTGGGATCTGTCTAGGTTAATCACAGCCACAGCAAGCTGTGAATCATGTCAGACTGACTGAATCTAGGTAAATAGGCTTAATGCTCCATCCAGTGGCTATGGCAAAAGCTTGGGTCATCTGTCTTGCGGGGAAAGCATTTTTGGTGAATGCAACACCTCTTCACCAGCACCAGTGAAGCACTGACTTTCCCAAGGAGCTGTGGTGCTTGGCGCTGAGGGGCTTGAGCTGCATCTGCTGCATCCCCCCCCAACTAAATTGAGGAACCAGTGTGTTACTGAAGCAGGGGCTGATGGCAAAGGGTGGAAATTGAGCTTTGTCTGTGATTGTCTTGTTAGCTTGTAAGGTGCTTCATGTCTGTGCAGCCTTGATTTGGGCAGGGGAAGCTGTATTAGAGCTGGTGCTTGCTATGGCAGAAGGTCTTGAGACTGGGCTGTAAAAAGGTGGTGATAGCAAGTGAGTTTAGGATAACTTGTTCACATAGCACATCCGATGCATGGTTACTAGACAAGATTAGTAGGCTGAGTCAATGTGTATTCCAGAGTCTGGGACCTTAAACGAAGGCAGAAGCAGGATATGGGATAAACAGAGCCAAAACTAATCATGTTTGCAGCTATGCAAAAAAGTGTTCCACTGAAATGCAAACTGAAGACAGCAGCTAATCAGAACATCTTGGTGCATGTTTTTTCCCCTCCGTACTTGATGCCTTGTTACTCTGGAAAATTATGATGTATGAAGTTTCCCAGCTGCTGTCCCCCAAGATAGGGCAATCTGTCCGTGAGTGGGGAGTTGTCATAGCTCATAAACCTGAGTCAGAGGCTGCTGTGTGATGGAGCTCAGTTTCGAGTCATGACTACTGTCTGAGTAAATGTATGTATTAGCACTGCTGCTTATAACTGAAAAATTCCTCCAAAGAGGATGCTGAGAGGCGATTTAAGTATTTCCTGAAATGAGCTTGCCATGTTTCTCAATGGCAGTAAAGTTTTATTTCAGCAGCTTAAATGCTCATTTGGGATTTGGAGTATCGACTTGATACTGCTGAAGAGGCACAAAACTTAGCTTTTTTTAGTACCGGGAGAACGAGTGATACGTGTACATCAGGGGTGTATCCTATACCTGAAGTGGTATGCCTCTCAGTGCAGACTTTCCAGTCTTGTATAGTATTACAAGGAAGCAAAGCTTTCCCCCAAAACAGTAACTTAATTTGGAAAGATCTCATTACCTTAATCTCCCTGTAATATAATTGAAATAGCTTTCAGCCCCATGGGAGGGGAGACAAGCAGCATTTTAACTGTGGGTGTTGTTATGGAGTGCACATGTGGAAGTTGTTTTAAATTTACAAGTGTCACTTGGATTATGGTAGCTCTGAGCTAATGCTCTTTAATTGTCTGACATCTCTCCTGCTTTTGGTGCTTCTCCATCCCTGTGAATGCTGAGAGAGGGTATGAGCCTCCCCAGGGGAATGAAAACTTTCCATTCTTGTTGCCAAGACTTCATTCAAGGATAGTAGAGCTAGATCATCTGAAACAGAGGCAAACATGATCTTTCTAAAATAATTTCAAGTTCTGCTTTTCACTGCCCTTTCTAGCTGTCAGGCAAGAGTTTGGTTGACTTGTATGTGATGATTTGTATGAGGAGAGCAGTTCTCAAAACATAATCTGGAGACGCCTCTGAAAGCTAGTCTTGCTGTGAGCAAGAAACTGGTTTGAGTAGTATAAGAAGCAATATACATGTCCTCTGTGGGCTATAAAGGTGTTGGATGTGTGTCTCGGTGATGGGCCAGGAGCTGGGGCTCAGCTACAGAAGGGGGGGCTCTGCTGCCATGCCTGTGAGGGGGAGATACCTTTGAATTGCTGCTAAACTTGCTTTTAGGTAGCCTTCGCAACCAGTTTGTGGTTGTCATTTGTCCCCCATCAAGTGACCAGATCAGCCAGAAGTAGTCATCTGCTTGAGCTGTGTGCAATGTGGCTCCCTCTGCTAAATGAGGGGGACAAGTTAACATGTTACTGCCGTACTCTTTGGGTGGTGGGGAGATGCAAAGTCTTCCTCCCACAAGCCTGAGCTGAGTAATGTGAGCAGAAGGGCTCATAGGCAGGTTTTGCTGGACAACCTGTCCTGGCTGCTGTGCAAAAGGGTGCAGAGCTTGCAGGTCAGAGCTGAGCTGCTGTAGTCCCAGTGGGAACCTTGCTGCAAGTTTTAGAGTTGTTTTTTTTCCTTCCCATTGTTTAAATCTGGAGTGGGACCAGATTAGGCATGCGGGACCAACAAATGCAGCATGGCACTACTGGTGTGGGACAGCAGAAAGCTGGTGCTCACTTATTTTTATAAAAAGAGCTTGGCAACACAGCTTATTTTGGAGTGAGTGGGGAGGCTGGTTGGGGTAACTTCTACCTGTTTTCCCCAGATATGTAAGTGGAGTCTTAATCTGAAACCCTTTTTCCTTTGGTCCCCTGTGCTTGGCCTACTGCGTTGCCCTGCTCTTCACATGCGAGGAAATCTGCCTCTATTTTTTCCATTGACTGTCCACACCCCTTGAAAGTGCAGTTGCAACATCGCACTTCATGCTGCCTCAACGATTAAAAAGCATGACTTAGTGGAAAAAATCCTGACCTTCTTGGGTTCAGCCTGTCCTGCAGCTGTTTGAGATAAGATTGTGCTAGGGTTTTTTATTAAAAAAGCTGCACACCACATTTCGGGGATATTTGTTTGTAAGGAAATGACTACTACTTAGTTTCTGGAAAAAAATCTGGCAGGCTATTTTCAAAGAAATTGCTCCAATTTGACCTAATGTGCTTAAAATGATAGCAGCCAAAGGTTAGTTTAATTATTATACTGCTATTTTTCTTGCACAGGAGGCTATTTTCATGACATTTTCAGCTTATGTAACCTCCTGAACCACACTTCTTTTTCCATTGCAGCCTTCTAAACCATGTAATGTCAAGGGTATTTTTTTCCTATCCTGAGTTTAGATAACAAGTGGATGCTTAAGAGCCACCGACTGTACTTCCAGTAATGCACTGTGTGTCTGAAACTGCCTTTGGCCAAGCAGAAGCCACAAAGCTCTGAGAAACAGTTGCTGTCTCACTTGTTCTGGGAGTGACTAATAGCAAGTAGCTCGTACTGCAGTGCCCATGTTAATGCGGCTGTGTTCTAAGACCTCTCCTGTGCACTTGAAGTTACACGGATGGTGGGTGCTGTAGTGGGAGCTGGGCTCCTGCACCACTGTTCCCAGGACCAGATGGCTGGCTGCAAAGAGCCTTCCTGTTTTGTTACCTTCACACTGAGTTGCTTGCCTTAGCACCCCTTCCCAAAGTTACCGTGCCTGACTTTGCATTAAGTAGCAACCTGATGGCTTTCTTGGGTTGGTAACCTGGTTGCCACAAAGCTTTGGATGTGAGAGAAATGTGGCTGAACAGTAGAAGACTCAATATTGACCAGGAGGTAATGGTGTATTTTACAGTTGATAGGATGATGTTTCACTCTGGGGTTTGGGCCAGGGCTTCCCAAGGTGGTGGGTACCTGCATGATTGGCATGAGGAGTATGATGCTTTGTGGTTAATGCTCAGGGCTCCTGGATGGGGAACCTGCTTTTGTAATTGGAACCACAAAGATCAAAGCAGGTGAGATCTTGCTCTCAAACCAAGACACCCACAAGCATTGTGCGTGCTTGAGGTCTACAGTGCTGTCTCTGCAAGGATGCTCTGATGGCTCACTTGAATGCAGCTGGTGTTCAAGGAAGAGTACAGTGTGTGACTCCTCACCTCATCTACAACCTGGAGGGGAAAATGCATCTTGTGATTATCGTCTTTGGGGTATTTAAATGCAACTAATGTGAAATGGGCACTCTGGTAAAATTGTTTGAAATAAACAGGTGGTAATTGTTTAATCCTCTGGTTACCAACCAAGGGATCTGATATGGCAACTGGTTCTTGTTACCCAGCAGTTCTCTTCTAGATGAGCTGGGGTTCGAAGCTGTTCCCCTAGTAGGGCATCCCTGTAAGTAACAGCAGCCTTTTCCATTCACACTGCAATTCAGTCATGCAAACCTCCTGCTAACACTGCACTGCAGTAGCAGTTTTTCCTGTACCTGTGTCTTTGCCTTGGTTCCTAGTAGGATCAAAGCATGCACTCCAGTGGCACTGCCGGCGAGTTTGGATGCTGGTGCTGCTGCAGAGCACGTGTACCCATGTGGCAAGCTCTGGGTGGGAGGGAAAGGGGTAAGGTACTGCTCTGTGCACCTTTGTGGGGCTGGAGATAAGGGGGGGGGGTCCTCCTGTTCCTTGCACCAGGTTATGTAACTGTTAGCTATGCCACAGGTACCTCCTGCCCTAAGAAATATAGTCCAGTCTCCAGCCCTTCCACAGAATGAGTGTCCTCCTGCTGAGTTTCACTGCTGATGTATGGTAGCTGTAGCATGCAGAACACTGGCAAAATTCTCTCTGAAATGCACTTGAACTTCTCTTTCGTTCTGGTGCTGTGGCCCTGCAGTGATACCAGATGCAAGCCTTTGCTGCAAGGGTCTGGACTGCTCTAGCCCTGGGTTGCCATGTGCCTCCTTTCCCTTCTAGCAGCAGAGCCTGGAGCACATGCCTGTTCTCGTGTGTAGTGTGACCAGCAGCAGGAAATGAGATCTTAGATTCTCTGATCGAGATAGCTCAGTGTGCAAACTCATAAGCATTAATGCAAAAGCAGTGGTGGTGGGGGTGAGGCAGTTGGATAAATATCCAAAAGGGCAGATGCCTGTTTGAGGACTATGCAAGCAAGCGTGTGTTTTGGAAGCCTCTTGGGCAGCACTTATTTCAAATACTCAGAGATTAGAGAAGCTTATTTACAAGTTCAAGAGTCTTCCCATCACTCAGTGGTTTACTCTGTGTCCTGACTAGTCTGCCCTGAAGACCCAAGTGTCTTGAGAGTTGGGTTTTGGCTAAGACTTCTTGAACGCCCCTCTCAGACTGTTTCTTGGTTCTTTCAGATCTTCCCCGATCCCTCGGACTTCGACCGTTACTGTAAGCTGAAGGACCGCCTGCCCTCAATTGTGGTGGAGCCGACGGAGGGTGACGTGGAGAGCGGTGAGCTGAGATGGCCACCCGAAGAGTTCCTCGTGCAGGAGGAGGAGGAGGAAGAGGAAGAAAACTGTGAAGATGCAAAGAAGGACAACAAGGAGCAATAAATGGTATCTGAGGAAAGGCAAGGGACCGCACCCTTCTGAAGGAAGAGCCACACTTCTTTTGAAAGTCTTTTTAAAAAAAAGACAAGTTCAACTTTGCACCTGCGAGATCTTAGTTTTTTTGTATTCTCTGTATTGAGAACTGAAGCCCTCGGTGTCACCAGACCTCCTGAGGGAGGAAGGAAGGAAGTAACGCAGAGAAATGTTTGCTGTTCTTGAGATCACTATCTGTATTTTTCCGAGGCGGAGGCAGCAGTGAAATTCCAAGCACATGGCAAAGGGTGACCACGCGAGGACTGCTGGAGGGGGGAGCTTGGGGAGGGGGAGGAAAGTCGGAGGCGGCAGCATTTGGCTGGGAGCTGCCTCTGGCTAAAAGCATGAGAACAGAGCTGTCATCTCTCAGATTTGCCTTTCTTACAGCTTCCATTTTGTGTGTCGGGGGGTGGAAGGGTGTCCATAGTGAAGCACGGCTAAATGCTCTGCTGACAAGGGGCCTGTAGCTCTCCCTGGTTCAGCACCTCCTAGGGTAACATGAGCATCCGTAAGAGTAGTTGGGTTTGTTGCTCTCGCTATTGAGCCTGGTTTCCAGCCACTTTTCCCAAAGCTGTTTTCTCCCCCTCTGTTTGCCTTTAGACTCTTCAATGCTGAACAGCTGTATTTGCAGGATAATGTTAGGCTGCTGCTTGTCATCTCTACTGCAAGGCCCTGGTTTATCTTGCAGGTGGTTAGCGTGAGGTAATGCGCATCAGATGCAAAGATGCTTTTGTCTGCAGCAAGAGCTCATGTAGGTTTTGAACACCTTGGATTTTTCTCTCCTATTTGCTGAGGCTGCTGTGGTCGGTCTTGTCTTGTACAGTGCCCAAAGCCAGAGGGTGAGGATTATGCCTCCTTACTTTGGTGTCCTTGAGGCTGTGGGGTTTCATGTTTCCCACTTGCTGGTCAGTGGGCTTGTGAGGGCTGGAGCGGGGGATCTCCTCCAGCTTTGCACTGCAGGGCCTCCTTAGAGCCCTGGCAGTGCAGGACAGGCTAGTAGGGCTGTGCACGGTGGGGAGTACTGCCAGACCTGGAGGCAATCCAAAGACGAAATGCCAGATCTAGTGTGGATCACCAGCGGGAGAGGGGGGAGGTTTGTAGGGAGGGGTCTGTTGGGAGAGGATTAGCCTGGGTGTCCTGAGACAAGATGTGTTTCTGCTTCATAGCAAGGGTGAAACATTCATGGATGTTTAATGAAGTGCAGACTGGCTTGCAAAGTCTGTGGTTGTGTCCTCTTCACCATATCCTGCTCCAAGGAGAAGTCGCCTGTCTCTTGTTTGGGGAGGAGGCCAGTCTGCTGCCAGACAGGGTAACCTGCTGCTTTCCTGGAAAGTAATGATCTCGCAGCTTTGGGGACCAGCTCGGGAGCCAGTCGGTCTTGGGGTAGGATGAGAACAGTTACCACCTAAACCAAATTTGGGGTCATGGAAGAGAAAAAGAAATGTCAAGGCCTTAACCAAACTTTCATAATAATCCCAATGCCACCACCCTTTGCTTATAACCGGTTCCATTTTTAAAATCTATTTGGACATGTGTGTATTTGTATTTTTAATACCTCATGAGTAGTTAAACGCTGGTGGGGGTTGGGAACTGCTTTTAACATATTGGCAGGATTGTTTTAGTCTTGTCTTGCTTGTGTTTAAACATGGCAATAATTTATCAGCTCTGCATAACTGTTTCAGACAGATAGGAGTTTGGAGATGAGTTAGCACAAAGCAGGAGAAACTCAGTGTTCCTACACTGCAGCTGGTCTCTGGTCCAGCAACGCAGACCTGGTTATACATGTTCCCTGCCTGTCTTGGTGGACAGTTGATCACCAAATGGTCATGATGTGGTGATACCATTTTCTCTAGCAATTGATTCAGCTGTTGTATCTGTAACACTTGTTCTAGTCTTGCTGTCTTACTGGAATGAGCTTGTATACCTGCATACCAGCCAGTTGTCTTATTTCTAAGTGTTACTCTCTATTGGTCTCTACCATCTGTACCACCAAGTCAAAGCTGTATATCAAAGATATTACCATGTGGGCAGCAATGAGATGGCAATCCTTGGACTTCAGACCTGCTGTCTGCCCGAAAGACTTGCATATTTCTGTCTGCATCCTTTTTTTGAAAGTATTGTGTATATTTCTATTTGTTGTTGAACGTATCTAAAGAACAAAGCACTCCAGTAAAACTCCTCCTGTTGTATGATATACATTCTATATTTCTGTAATTCTTTTTTGAGCCTCAGGGAGAAGCTAGCATTTTTTTCAAACTACATTTTTGTCACTGTGACAGTTGTAAATAAAGTTTGAAAATGCTTTCCAAACATACTGGCTTTGTCTTACTGCCAAAGCGGGTTGGATGGTCAACCTTCCAGCTAATGGTCAGTCCTTGTGTTTCAGGTCTGAGGTTTGACTTGCAAGGCTAATGCAAATATCCTAAAAGACTTATGTCTGTCAGTTGAGGCTGTTGTGCAAACCTGGAGATGCTTGTGCTTTGTACATGTGGCTGACCTCAGAACATGCCCTGTGGGATTGTAAACCTAAATCAACTTAGAGTGAGGGGCAGCATCTTTGCCTTTCATCTTCCTACAGTTGCTTATTGCTGTGTGAAAGGATGCAGTAAAGTGGTGCTCTAACTTGGTCCTGAAAAATCTGTATTTATATCTATAATTATCTATATATCTAACCCCTTACCTAACCTTGCAGAGCATGAAGTCACGGAGAGCGGAGGCTATTCATAGTTGCTCTTAGTACTGATAAAGTACCTGTGCATGTTCCCTGTGCATGCTCTTACCCTGCCCTGAGCAACAATGCATGAAGATAAGTCTTGCCATGCTGTGTGCTGTTAGGGTCTCAGCCGAGCTACCTGGGGTTGTCTGCTTTGGTCATTTTGGGTCTAGAGGTTAAGCCTGCTTGAGTAGTCATTTGTGTCTTGCCCATACCAGTGTCTGTGTGCTGCAGCCCACAGTGCTGCCAGAGGAAGACCTGGAGGAAACTGGATTTCTGACTGTGGTTCTGAACTTGTTTGGTACCAAGGCAGTATCTGGGATGTGGAAATCTGACCATGCCAGGATTCAGTAATTCAAACTTCAATGGGATTAAATTTTCCACTAAAACTAGGTGATAAGAAGTAAATGCCCTGGAATACCCCTAGCTTTCAGATACATGGAGAGAAGTTCCTGTGATTTGGTGAGTAACAAACTCTAATCTTACCTATGCAAACAAGCTGGGCTGAGGCTAGAGTGATATGTTTACTCGAGACTGGTTTAAATACACTAACTAATGACCCACAGATTTAATGCTTGAACTGAGGTCATGCTGAATGTGAGCCTCCCAGATTATATTGTGCTCAGCCCTTGTGGATGTTTTATGCCATGGAAAGATAAATACAATGTGAAGATTGCCTCTCCTTTTCTTGAATCAGCCTCTAGCTAAGGTGCCTTGATTTCTTCCCCTCCTTAGGCATGGAGTTGCTTTCCTTGTAGAAGAAGCTGCAGCACTTCCAAGATGAAGTGCTGGCCTGAAATCATTGAAGATGTTTAGTCCTGCCCCAGAACATTTCTGATTAAAATACAGCACTGGTTAGGGAACCTGCAAATGCATTGAACTTGTCTGCTACTTCCATGTGCTTCACAGGAACAGGTTTTTCAGGCTCATGTCAGAATGAAGCCACTCACTTTGTTTCCTGATGCATCATGCTATTTTGGGGCCAGACCAGAAAGGCTGGCCTCTGAGCAGGGCTCATTCTGGCTTGGGGGTCTGCCTTGCATCAGCCTGGAGCAGTGATGGTGGGAAGGGGGCTTTTTCCTGGTCCTTGGCTCCAGCTGTTATGGTCAAACTGGAACTTGCATCACCAAATGAAAATGGACTTGCTGCTGAATGGGTGACCCTAGGTCATCTCAAGAACTTCATGGGTGGCATAAGGACCTTTCTTTGCACATAAAGCAATGTTTCTTCTTCTGGCTCTCATTTGGACTTGAGGCATTTGTCCTCCTCAAAGCTCTGCCCTGTAGTTGCAACTGATGACACAGCAAGCACTGCTGCTCTGCTTAGTTCAGCCTGTGTTCACTCTCCCAAACATTTGGTTTGTTTTTGGTGTGTATCCACTTCTGTTTGGCTATGCCAAAGCACACAGTCACTTGAAACACACAGTGCTGATGAATTTTTGGCATCTCACTTTGCCTGTATTTGGGTGCAGCCAGGCAAAATTGTTGCTCTGCAGGAGTGCAAAGATAATTCATCAGCACTGCACATGGGGAGCAGCCACCCCCTGGACACAGGTCCCCTTAGTGTGTGTCTGAGTTGTGCTCTGGTGTAACCACACTCCTTATTATTGCAAGCAACAGCGAACTAGTGTTGCCTGCCAGGTGAGGATAACCTGGGCTGCCTCCTTCCCATTTTAGCTCCTGTAAGAAGTGCTCAGCAGCTGAGGACAAGGAGTTTCATCCCTGTTGTGTTGCTCTGCTTTGAGATGCCTTGAAGCACAATCAAAATGAAATTAAAATCCCCCGACTGCTAGCCTAGTCACCTGGAATGAAATGAAGGATGTGAGGAGCAATGGCCTGTAATGCATGTGCTTGGAGGTCTCCAAAAGTAATCCTGGGCACCAAACATCTCTACATAAACAAGAGCAATTACTACCCCTAAATCCTTGTTTGAGGAGAAAAGCTCTGGGTGTTTCATGATTTGAATGATGCCTTTTTGCTTACACTTGGACAGAAAAGGAATGGGTTAAGGAAAGCAAAGAGCTGGGCCTGGACCTGACAAGCACCATGAAGTTTAATTATGCACCAGTCCAATGCCCCCGTGGTTGGCAGCACCTATGTAAATGCATCTGTGCTTCCAGGAGCATGTTGTGAGTATGCGTCTGCCTGTCTTGCTGCAAGGTCGTTGCTGCTGTCTTTCAGGGTTTCCTGGTGAAAAGCTGGAATTAAAGGGTGAGGGCAGGTGGGTACCACTGTGACCCATTCAGGGTTTCTTTGCC